AACTTTGATTACAAATAGGAGATTGATTATTGTAATTTAATGATACCCATATTTTTTACTATTCCATAAAATTGTTACACCGAAGTGAAATAATAACTCAATACAAAAAAAACCGAAAGTATTCCGATTAAAAAGAAAAAACTTACGTAATAAGTGAAACTAAGCAATTCTTTTTCTTTTATCACAACTGACTCTACCTAGATATTTTGTACATAAAAAAATAATTGAATTCTCGTAGATAAATTGTAAATTTTTTTAATATTTGTTTAACAAAAGTTATTAAAAATTTGAATAATTATCTATATTTAGAATTTCTAAAAGAATTTGTTTCCTGAAAAAATAAAATTGAAATATTTTGAAATTAATTGAATTCTCAAAAATAATTTTAATAAATTAAAGGAATTAAAATTATTGTCAGGTTTCTTTGAATTAAATTTGATTTTTTTAGGAATTTCAATTTTTTACTTTAATAGTACAGTAGGATTCAAGAATGCCTTCCTAGTATAAACTTGTCGCACTCATATTTTCCCATGGAAACATATGAGTGCGACACGTTCAAACTAGGAAGGCATTCTTGAATCCTACTGTACATTGTACAACTAGTGGCGAAAGTGTGATTTTTCGAGAGTAAAGTTTGCGGCTCGAGCGTAGCGAGAGCAGCAATCACTCGAGAAAAAGTATTTTTTTGAAATATAATCGTATTTATAAAAATAAAACATTCAAAAAATTTCTTTCAACTATCTGAACATTGTTAATGCTTTTCCTTTTTTTTGGCAATGAATATGCATTGCCAAATTCTAAACAATGTTTATTCTGTTTAGAAGATTCTACTGACATACAAGTATAATGTACTATGCCTTTCTCTCTGTGATAATGCTGCTTGCTTTGCTTCTTCTATTTTTTGTATAACATTATTCGTTTTTTCCTAATACGAAAATTAAATTTGAAATTGATTTCAGAAATGTAACAGTACAATATAAAAATATATTTTTCATATTTTGGTTATACCTATAAAATTACTTTTATGCAAGGATATAAAAAATCTTGAGGAAGATAAAAATTTTTAATCATAGGCTTAACGTTATTTTTATTTATATTGAAAATGAAATTACGAAATATTGAAAGACAGCTGAAAGATAAAATACGATAAAACATATAAGAGTTTTCACTTTATGATAATAAAAATTACTCATTACTGACATTGTTTTAAAATTTTAAGTTCTTTAAATTCTACATTTTATATCGATTCATATTTACAGAAAGGTTATTCGATGTGTTTTTGAAGCTTTTAAACAATAAATAGAAAGTATTTACAATTAAATGTTTTAATTTAATATGAAAAAACTAAAAGCAATTTTTTATAAAATTGTAACTTTTTAAAATGTCAATAACTTTAGCTAATACTGCTAAATGAGTAAAATCATAAATAAATCCTATTATTTGAAATAAAAAAATTATTTTCAAAAATTTCAATAAAATTCTTAAAAACAATAATTAATAGGTCTTATAAAAACAATTTAATTATTTTCCGAAATTTTTAAAAATTCAATTAATTTCAATATTTACTATTTTATTAAAAATTCCCAAAAGTACTCAATGATATAAACAAAATTTCTAATAAATTCTTTTTAAAAATTCAATTATTTTTATAATTAATAAAACTTTCTCAAGAACTTAACTATTTAGAAAAATTTAAAATAAAATTATAAAATTCTTCACAGAAATTTAATTACTTTTAATATTATTTTAAATAAATTTATCGAAAAATGACATTATTTTAAAAATTTTTATTAAAATTCTTTGAAATAAGTAAATTATTTCCCCAATTTTTTGTGAAATTCTTTGTAAGAATTCAATTTTAAGAAATATTTAATTATTCAATAAATTATTTATTATTGTATTTAAATAATTTAATTCTCTTAGGACTTTCCATTAAGAATTGATTTAAAAATTAATTTTAAAATAAATTTTAGATAATAATTATATGTTAAAAGCGTTATAGAATGAATGTTTAGAAATAAGAATTACATTTTAAAAGATTTTTAAATTGCAATTTTTTGAAGTTTTAACTATTGTAAAGCTGTATTAATATTTGCATTTTTCTTTTAGAAAATTATTAATTTATTATTTGTTTAAAAAAAGGTTAAAGTTTTGACCGGTGAAATTGACGTGAATTTTTTTAAAAACCTTAAATTTTAGTGTTGTATAGGTATTATCAAAATTGAAAAAAAAATTTTGACCATTTTCGAAATTTTATTTATTAAAAAAAATTAAAATTTTGAAATATACATACGATTAATTGTAATAAAAATTACGAAAGTAGTTAAAGTTCTATTTTTTTAAAACTTCCGATATTTATTTAAAAGTTATTAGTTAATTAAATTTTTTTCAATTTTTCGATGCATATTTATTATAATTTCAAATAATAAAATTTGTCTGAAAAAAACATTATTCACCCATGAAAAATAACAATTTGGATGAATTGAAATTTTAACAGTCCCTCCTCATAAAGTGCTCAATAAAGTACTATTTTCGAAACCTTGAAAATTTCTCAAAAACCTTAAAAAAACCGGAAAATGGTCGTGAATTTTATTCTCAAGTTTTTGGTGGCCACCCTGAAAAGGGGCCGTCCATATATTACGTAACGCTAATTTTTAAAAATTTTGACCCCCCCCCCTCCCCCCATGTAACACGCTGTTACATACATTAGCGCCATTTTTTGGCTTATCGTAATAAAAAGCTTGACCCCCCTCCCCTAAAAAGTGTTACGTAATATATGGACGATCCCTAATTAAATTTTGGAAAAATTAAAGTAGTAATTTTTAGAAGCGATTAAATTTTAAAATGGTTTTACACTAAAATAATATAAAATATTTTAATTCCTGTGGAAAAATAAACAATTATTTTAATATTTATTTAAGAAAAATTTTTCAAGTTTTGAATGAATTGTTTAAAAATTGTTTTTTTGAGAAATTGTAATCAATAATGTTTTAAATATAGTTCAATTTCCGTAAATAATTTAAAAAGATGGAATTAAATTTCCAATTATTTGGAAATTTTTGCAAAATTAATTAAAGAGAATTTTGCTTTTTTAATATTGAAAATTATTCTTAAATATAATCGTATGTTTGAAGAATTTTAAATTAAAATTTAAAAAATAAAGGTGTGCAAAATTCGAATCGAGAGAAAATTTGATTCTAACTTGCCAATTCGAAGGTTCGAATTGCGAATTGCACAACTCGACTTGATCTACTTTCGATTCAAATCGTCCAATTCGAAAATCGCAGTTAGACTTTCGAATTGCTATGTAATGTGCTATGATGTGTATGCAGTATGTTGTGTTTCGATTTTCGAATTGGCCGACTTGATTCGAAAATCGAGTCGAGTAGTACAATTTGAAATTCGAAACGCCGATTAAAAAATAATTTAATTTTGTAAAAATTTAAAATTTAAGTTATAAGCATTGCAAAAAACAAATATTTTTTATCTAAATTAGGAAGTCAAAATCAAATTTTCGTGATTTTTAGGAATCGTTTAAATTTTTTTTAGTCGTTAAACCTAATTTTTCGATAGCTACTCTTTTTACTACTTTTTTCAGTCCTAAGGCTACTATTTTAAAATTAATTATCGAGTTCAAAAAATATAAATTTTGTGAAACAATGTTTTTAAAACTATATTATTATATGTTTGCAAAGTTCAATTAATTTTATAAACATTAATGTTTTCAACAACTTTTGCGTAAAATTTTTCATAAAAATGAAATGAAAAATTTAATTTTATAATAATATAATATTTAGAAAAATTATTGCACGAATCTTTTATTTCTTCTTATTAAAGTTTACAAAAATTTACAAGAATTCATATAGAAATGATATAGAACGTTTACTAAAATTTATATAGAATGATTCTACTGTAATTATATAGAAAATTTTCAGCTGGGATGTAATTTAGATTAATTAATTTACTTATTTACATGAATCGATGTGTACTTGAATTTTTAATTACTACTAATTGAAATAAACTTATTTAAAACTTATTTAATTTATAATAAATTTAAATTTAAATCAGTAAAAATTTTAAAGAATAAACGAAATCGTAAATTTAAACCAAAATTGGTTCTACATCGTAATTTGGTTCTATTTTAGTACCGAAATCAGCTCTAATTTAGAACCTTTTTTTATAGTGAAAGAAGAAATAATAATTTTAATGCAAGTAAGTTAAAATATAAATAAACTAAATTATATTTCTATTTATTTATTATTTATTTTTTTATTTATTTAGGTTTATGACTCTTTTTTTTATTTCTTGAAATTGTTCTGTGTATACCGGTTAGGTCTGAGTGTACTATATAATTGTAAAAAAAGTAGTAAATAGGAAGTTGTAGTAATGAGTATGAAGCCTGTAATTAGGCAACTTTTTTTCTCTTAAAAAAAATTATAATTTTTCTTTCACAGTGATTATCAAATTTCAATTTATTTTTTTGTAACTTAGCGGATTTAAAGTAATGTCTGTCCCCTATTTCCCTAAAAGTCATTTTTTAAAATTTCCCCTATATTTTCTTTTATCTTTTAATGATGAAATCACACCAAATTTAGCAAAGTGCCTTTAAAACTTTTTCAATTGGAAACTTTTGTTTCATTGAAAGTTTTAAATGTAATTTATGATCGATGAAGTTTATAAAATTTGCAACATTAGTATTTTGGTGAAGTTAAGTCTCAATTATGTTTAAAAGTTGGTTGTATTTTAAATTCCTATGATCTGCACAAACTTGCTATGACCTACATTATTTTTAAAAGACAATATTCATCCCAAGAATTCAATTATTTTCAAAAGTAATAAAATTCTTCATAGAAATTTTTAATTATTTTTACAAATTTTCACGAATATCTCGTAAAGAATTTAATTATCTTTAAAAATAGCAGAATTTTTCGCCAAAAATTAAATTATTTTCAAAAATTTATAAAAATCTTTGCAAAAGTGCAATAACTTTCAAAAGTTTTTTGTAATTCAATAATAATTTTCAATATTTAATATTTTCATAAAATTTATTAACAGTGTTACATCCCGAGCAGAAGGCAAGGTTTTAAGGTTAGGTTAAAGAATTTGGGAGAAATGGTAGGCTGATTATGGTCAAGTTGGTAAAGCTTGACCTTTATTTTTAAGTAGGATCGTTTGTACTTGTCAAAACTACGGGTTTTGAGTTACAACAACATAAATATTCCCTTTTTATAATTTATTTAAATATTAAATAGTATGATTACAATAATTATACAATTATTACTTACTTTTAATTACAGGTTTATTCGTAGATTTCAATAATAGCGCAGGTCGTTATAAGTTTGGTTTTCAACAGTTGTTTCAATTGAATGAAACTAAGAAAGTTTGTTATGTTACACTTATGTAACTTTCACAACTTATTAATGTTTTTGCGTTTGTTTCAAGAGTTAAATACCGTTTCTAAGTGTTACTTATCGTCACTTGCACCTATTTAAGGAAAGAAACTTGTTTCTAAGTGTGAGAAAAGCAACTTGCACAATAATTGAGTACAATTCGGTCTGCAATTGCCAATTAGAGAAAGAATTGGTGAAAAACTACAATTAATGAAACTTGACACGCAAAATACGACAGTTAATTCATTTAAATAATTGATTCTAAGTGTAAAATTGCTTTTCTTGCACCTTTTACGGAAAGAAACTTGTTTCTAAGTGAAAAACAAAATTGACTTGCACAAAAACCGAGTACAACTCGAACTGCAGTTGCCGATTAGAGAAAGAATACAAAATTTAATGAAAAACTGAAGGGTCGCTCTACAATGACTATTGGTCTTATTAACCGCACCGGAACTTTTGACAATTATCGATGGAGAAGCTTTCGTTTATATACGCTAAAATGAGTAAAAGTGGGAGAGTTTATAGCTAATTATGGGGATAAAGTATGTTGCCTTCTTAGAATTTACATTTCTGCTTATTATAGTCCTATTTATAGTTTGATTTTAAGAAGAATCACATCCATCGACAATTGGTCAGTACTTTTGCCCCATATATGGAAAAGTGAAGCTCGAGTTACACGCAGTGATTCCTAGAACTCGGGTTGCGCAACTAGGTCACAGCGAGCGAGTTCGAGCTTGAGGTAGTACTGATGCAACGCATTCCTTTCTATTTTGGTCAAGTTTTACCTCTTATATGGAAAAGTGAAGCTTGAGTTACACGCAGTGATTCCTAGAACTCGGGTTGCGCAACTAGGTCACAGCGAGCGAGTTCGAGCTTGAGGTAGTACTGATGCAACGCATTCCTTCCTATTTTTATCAATTTTTACCTCTTGCTTTGTTTTTCTCCATATAAAGTTTCAATTTTGATTACATCTCAATTTCGGACTTTAAAGTCTTTTTAACACGCGTATTATATATCAAATTAAAAGATACTTGCATTCCTTTAACCTTTCGTTACATCGCAGATACACAAAACATATCCTTTACTATCTTATCAAAGCAAAAATGTATCTGGGATGTAACAGTCCTCCCTCCTTACTTTTTCATCGTCTCGATGAAATTTTGAGTCTTGTTATCTAGATGCTAATTCCGAGACTTAAATTCCGAAATTGAGACTATCTTTTGTTGTCTATGTCTCACATTTCATACAGTGTTTACAGCGTCATCGATACTCTTGCGCTCTTCTTTCATTCGAACATACATAGATAAGAATAGTGAAGTGATAATCTAATGTGTTTCTTGTGTAGTGATATGCATTGTTTATATTATTCTAATCGTCTTATTGAGGTAGGTATGAATTTTCATCTTTCACAGGACGGACGTTGACCCTTTTGTTTCCCATGCAAAATTGATGATGATAGCATGTTGCATCCTTATAAGAGATGATGGTACTGGGACATTTTCAGTAGTTAATTTCTTGAGATGGAGAACACAGCTAGTGAAGGTGGGCATCACAATAATTGTGTTGTTTTAATTTTTGTGGTTTATATTGGTTGTGAAATTAAGTTCTTTTTATTAATTTTAGTGTCGAACAGAAGGAAATGTGGTGTTAACATCTTGATGTTTCTTCAATCGCTACATGCATTGGCAGCGTCCGTGCATCACTCGATGCAAGAAATAGATTGTTTCGAAAAGATGGGGCGTCCTGGTCGTCCCAAGCGGAATTCCTTTCCAGGATTCGTGGTAGACAGAAAAATTCGTATCAAGGAGCTACGGAGATTAAAAGGAGAAGTCTTGGCTGAGTCGGCGCAGATGACGTCAATGATGAATCTATTGTTGTAAGTACAATCATTTATTTATTTGTCCTCTTTCTCTGAATTTATAAGGTAAAATTTTGTAAATTAAAATTTTTTTTTCCTTTTTGTAGTCGGCCCGATCGACCAATTGACTGTTATTGTGGAGGATGCTCGAGGCCCGAAAAGAGAAAATTAGAGGTTACAGGTAAAATTTTCTTTTCTTCTTCTCTTTCTTCCTTTTCTTCTTCTTTTTATTTCATTATGTTTGTAAACAATGTTTTTGTTCTATCTTGTTTGTAGAACAACTTGATTCTTCTAAGAAGAAAACGGCTAATACGATGGTATGGATTAGTAATGCGCCAAAGTTCATTTCTAGTCAAGGGGGTCCTTCATCGTCGGGTGTAGTTGATCAAACCGGTCCATTAGACTTATCAGTGAAGGTTCCAAAGATTGATTATAACATGCAACCGAGGGTTTATGTCAAGGACATCCGGTTGCTCCTGAAAACACCGATGCAGCAGAATTTAGACATCAATCAACCAGGTCCGTCTTGGTATGTAAAACCAGAGGATGTTGAAACCATCCTGGAAAAAGATCCTCTCAATGTTAATTCAGAACCAGATGCATCCTTGATTTGTCAGCAAGGTCCTTCTTGGGGTATAAAACCAGAGGGTGTGGAAACCATTTTGGAAGAGAATCCTCTCGAAGTTAATTCAGAACCAAATGCATCTATGATTTGCCAGCAAGGTCCTTCTTTGCATATTGAGCCCAAAAGTGTTGGGGTCTTTTTAGAAAAAGATCCATCTAAAATCCGATTGTGTGCGTGCGGTATGTGTTTTTCATAAAGATTTTCTTTTTCTCTTTTTTTTTTTGTTTATTTTTGTGCGCAAATTTGTGAGTATTTTAATTTCATATTATGTGTTTATTTAGTTATATGTGTATGTAGCGTGTGTGTTTTCCATTTGTAGTATGAATGCGCGTGTGTTTATTCTGAATAAATTTCGTATTTTTGTTAAAATAATTGTATTGTTTTATTTCACCATACTTATCTTTTACTTTTAACATTTTAACAATTTTATTTACAATTTTTCGTTTCTTTTTGAGAAATTTTACATTTGAAAATTCTTAATTATTGCAGCCACAAAAAGTAATTTTTAAAATAGAAGCAATAAAAGTAGCTATCAAATTAATCGTGACGATTAAAAGGCTCTTTTTAAATTAATTGATTTCTTTTCGAAGAAAATATTTTAAAATAATTAAATTCCTATATTTTCTAATAATGCCAAATTTCTTTTTGAATTTAAAAGAAGAATTAAAATTCAGGTTTTAAGAATAATTAAGTTTTTGATCAATTCTTGTAGAATTTCTGCAAAATTTCATAAATTACTAGACGTTTAAGGATTTAAACTTTGAATATATATATATATATTTTTATTGAATGGAATGGTTTTAAAAATTTGATTATAATTTTTGAATACAGTTTTTGGATTCAGATATTAGCAATTTTTAAAGAAGTAGAAATTTTCTAACAAAATATTAGCTTTTAGTGGCTGAGATCTAAAAAGTAGTAATTAATAGATTTTAGTAGATAAGTGCGCAGCTTACAATATTTTCTCCCTCTTTTTTTTTTTTACCTAAAATTGTTTATTGATTATAATTATTTGGAATCCAAAATTGATTATTTCTTTAGCAATTGTAGAACTCATTTAATTTTTACCTATAAGTTTAGTAGTGTATTAATATGTAATAATTATAATTGACATTTATTTTTACAAAATAACAATCATAGGGGAGAGTCTCCAGTTGTGAGACGGGTTTCATTTTTGACCCGTAAATTGTAAACGGGTAAACGAAATTGTTAATAAAATACACCGTTCGAAAGGTAACAGAAATACGCAACTTTTATTAAAAGAAAGTATAGTGTTTCGATGAACTCAAAAAGTTTTACGATACATTTTCCGAGCACATCGCTTTTTTCAAAAAAAAAAATGTCTCCAGTTGTGAGACACTCATTAAAAATTGCTAAAATTTAATAAGTTTGACATAAAACGTTATGTTTAGTAGAAATAATTAAATATATTAATAATATATATTATTATATACTAAATAATAATATTTATTCGCCAAAATATGACTATCAAATAAACACAATTTAATAGCTTGAACAAGAGCATTAAAATTGATTTCTTCTAAATCAATTGACTTTTTTCCACTTGACATGCCCAAAAATACTAGAAAAAAAATCAAAACAACATTTAAATAGTATGCCTGCAAAGTCGTATTTTTTATGCTGCCCAGATGGGTGTTGACACCGTCTCACAACTGGTGATATGCTGTGTCTCACACCCAGAAATTGGCGCTGTTTTAAAAAAGGAAAATGAAATTATTTTCAACCGTAGATTGGAACAATGCAATATTGCATCACAAAATATAAGGAAAACACTAAAAGAAAATGCATTACATTTACCTTTTCCAATTAATTAACTTGGAAAAAAAGTACTTTGTATTTATTGAAAAAACGCTTTTTAGTCGATTATCACACACAGTGTTGGTATTTAACAAAAACAGTTTATATATCCGCTTCGGCGTACATGAAAAAGTTGGCTCATATAAAAAGAAATGTTTTTATATAAACCAATCGGCTTTTTAATATTGCATTTTAAAAAAAAATTGACTGTCTCACAACTGGAGGTGTCTCACAACTGGAGACTCTCCCCTATATTATTATTTTGTAATATTAATAATAATTTAGACGGTTTTTCTTTATGTAGAATTGTTAAAATACATAAAATTTTTGATTTGAACCTGTCATAGAAATTAATTATGTATGAATATTATGGAATAATTTCTTCTATAATTCTATTAATTTCATTTTTATTTTAGTAAAATAGTCCAATATATATATATATATATATATATATATATATATGTTTGTTCAAGTGATATTTTGAGGACATTTTTTTTATATAATCAATAGTTTGAGGACATTTCTGATAGTTTGGGGACAGTCCTCGAACTACTTTGTGTATAACCAATAGTTTGAGGCCATTTTCTATACAAAGAAAGAATGCATTATTTGAGGACAATAAGCAGATTGTAAAGAGCTAATAGATGGCAGGTCAATGCTCCTTTTAACTAAGTTAAAGTTCCCTGAAGTAAAGATTGTGTATAAAATAATGTAGCATTTAAAAATCTTATAGTACAACAAGACAATGAGATTGTAATAGTTAAAATAAAACTTTTAAAATCAAATAATTAAAGAACTATTTAAAAAAGCAAAACCTAAAAGTAATTTAAAGGAAAAATGATAAATCAAAATTAATTTATCTGCAAATGTCAAAAGCTAAATATAAACCTAACCTAAAAAATTTTAACAGAATCACACTTTCCCAACTTATCAATGGTGTTACTTTTGCACTTTTGAAAATATTAAATGTGGTTTTAACTAAACTAATATACCGTAACATGACATTACAGATTTATATGTATGTGAATTATGAAAGAAACAATGTCCCCAAAATATGCCTTACCCTCATATATACAATATTATATAAATTATCTTATTTTATAGATGGCTTATTTGAACTAAATATTTTTGAAAATGATAAAGGTTAAATATAAACGTGATCTTAAAATAATCAAAATAAACAAACTTTTTTTAGCTAAATAATGTAATTTTACAATTTATAAAAAATTTGGTTTAATTTTCATTCTATTAGTATAATCTCATATGCGACTCAAAAACTACATATTTTTAAAAATTAAAGAAAAATATTTATTACAATATAGTGTAAAATCTTATGTTATATAATAATTGCTTTTATTATTCTATCTATTTAACATCTGTTCATAAGGGGCAGTTTAGTAAAAAGAATGTCCCCAAATTATGTGTTACTCTGATTTATACCTGTGTCCATCATAACCTCAAATTGTTATGGAGTTAAATTATCAAACCACTAAACAAAGATATATTAGAGTCCTTAGTATATGTTCAATGCACAAAATATGCCAAACTATGCATTACTCTGATATATATCTCAAACCAACAAAAAAAATTGTTATAAAGTAAAAAGGCTTACCTAAACTCACCGTATTAACAAGAGCTGAAGGTTAAATATAAACGTAGCATTTAATTTAATTAAATAAGCAATATTTTCAATATTAAGATGCTGTTATTTTCGCATTTATAAAAAATATAATTAAATTTTTATTTTATTATAACAGCAAAATATATGTGACTGATAAAGAGAATATTTAAGAAATTTTTAAAAATAGTTTTATATTAGTAGAAAATTGTGTAAAAACTTTGTGTTATATAAATTTTTGTTTAAATTATTCTACTTAATCAACTCCTGTGTACCAGAGACATGTGTAAAAAGTATAATCAAGATTAGTCATTAAATATATATATTAAAATCCAGAGTTTATTACTGGAATTAATATAAATCTAAAAAGAACTAACCATTTATATTTCAAATTCGGAAAAGTCTTTCTTCTGCATAACTACCTCATATTACTATTTAAATACCAAGAATGTCCTTAAATTATTCATTACTCTGATATATACCCCAAACAGAAGTAGCCTATAATTACATTACAGCAGCTAAATATGAACTTATTATGAAAATTGTCAACATATTCACACTCCCATAATATTTTGATGCCGCCTTTTAATGAGTAAACTTAAATCTTTTTTTTACAAATTGCTTATGCAGTGAAATATCCCAAGCCTTACAGCACCGAGATATTCTAGGACCTTCCTGGAACGTCCTGAAAATATTTTTATATAATTTATATAATATTTATAAAATATTTTATTTTTTTATATTTGCTATGTGGGAATGATCCCATCATTATATGTAGAAAATTGAAATTTTATACTCAGATAATGTAACATTTTCTATATATAGGAAATGGTTTCTAGATACTAATATTCTAATATTTATTTCACCTAATGTCTCTGAGTTAAGCACTAGTCTGATGTATACATCATATACATATATTTAAGTATAAGAAAGTTTTTAAAAAATTAAAAATATTAAATAATGGCGGAGATAAGGCGAGTCTCGCGAGCCAGTTTTTGTAGTGCATGGCCGTGCAGCATACACACTAAACAGTACAATTTTTATCCGAAACCTATACAACAAATTTTTCCTTAAACTATATTAAATTACCTACGACATGATGCAGCTTTTCGACATTGACGATGTATTCCGCCAACGAAGAAGAGTTGTAGTTGTAGTTACGATCTTTTTTTTGTTGTTGATTGTTTTATACGCTTCGTTTATAAGCTAAATTACAATTTCTATTTGTGTTTAATATCAGATTCAGTACCGAGACAAAAAATTCAATAGTAAGTTTTTTTTTCTCTTACAAAAGGAGGGTGTAACGAATATTGATATTTCATTGTCAAAGGCTAATAACCGTCAATGTATAATATCAATAAAAAATAGAAAAAAAGATCGACGAAATTAATCGTTCTGTTTCAGGACTAAACGACTAAACTTTCTAGGTAAAGAAATAACTACCACAAGAGCAAAATCCGAAGAGGACAATATCTCTCAAATCCCATCGTTTTTAATAATCACTTCGAAGACATAACATTTTAAAAGACATCGGCCTTTTTAGATAAGCTATTTTGAATTAAGAATAACCGACATCTATTAAAAAAAACTATTAAAAAAACAACTTTTTATTGATTAGAGTATAATTAAAATTCTTACAAAAGAGCTTACGATTGCGATTACAGTAACGTTTCTATTCTGTTTTAGCCTTAAGTAATTTCGAAAGATATCTTCAAAGAAAGAAAAATTTTCTTAACTTTAACAAAGTTGAAGGCAATACCTAAATTTTCATTTAAAATCTTCTTTTTGAAATATATTGTGAAAAAGTGATCGTGAATGTTCTTTAGATAATGAAATGATGTGTGTAATTGTCTTCAAATAGATATATTGAGAATTTTGACCTCCACATTTTCAAAATTTTGACGTGAAAAAAAGTTTTTGTTGACAAATTCGGATTCAAAACCCCAGAAACTAAAGGAAATAGTTTTAAGATACAAAACAATGAAA